TGTTGACGCTCCATTGTGTCAGGTCTGGGCGCTCTGGCCCTGCCTTTTTGTGGCTGCTCAGACCTGCTCGTTTCTCCACGTAAACCTAGAACCCACTGGCTTGTTCTGTCAAATGAAGGAAAGTTGGAGTTGGAACTGGAATGCAGGTCTTTTGATGCCACCTTGAGGGGTCTTTTCACCCCTGGGTGCCCCCAAGTTTAGCTTAGTTCCTGCTTCTTCAGGGGCATTCTCAGGAAGGAGGAAATTATTTGAATATTGCTGTCAAATAAAGCTTTTCTTTAATTGGCCATTCCTGGAATGTTGTTCCATATGGGATTTTTGTGGAGTTTTCATTCTTCACGTGTCTGTAGTACAGGCCTTAAGAAGTGCTTTTCAGAATAAAAGAGAAATGATTACATGAAATGCCCTAAAGTGCTTGCACTTATTACTTTGCTTTGTTTTCTAACCTTTGGTATACGAGTGGCATTTGTAGGAGCTGAACACGTTGGTTTCTGCTCTGCGAGAGATTTCTGGCTTCCACTCTTAATATGCACGTACCCACATGCCACCATGCTTAGCCCGATGATTTTCTACTGTGAGACATTTTCCGTGTCCTTTTTTTAGATTTTAATGTGTAAGAGCAGGTAAACAAGGTGAGCTCTGCAAGTCAGGTGAGCTCCGTTGTGCCGGGCGCCTCCGCGTCTCAGACTCACCGCCGCCGTTTGTGGTCGTCCTCGTCCCAGACCTCCGGGGAAGCCGCCTGCTCAGCGTACCAGTCGCGGCTTAATTGTGTCAGGTGCCTTCTGCCGTAGCCGTAGAAATAATACGAGAGAGAACCCTGTTCGCTTTACACTGTGCGCTTTTATAATGAGGATATTGACCTCCATATAGTCAAGATCCAGAACGTTCTATTACCCTTTTATAGCTCCACCCACACCTTCCCCAAATCTTGATGACCACTAATCTGTTCCCCATTTTTACAGTTTTCTCATTTCAAGAATGTTATGTATCAGTGGACTGTGCATGGGTCCATACAGTGACCGTGGGATTGGTTTTTTCACTCAGACTTATTCTCTGGAGATCCACCCAGACTGCTGTGTATATCAGTATCTTGTTCCTCTTCATTGCCATGGTCATCCACGGTATGGATGGGCCACATTTTATTTAATCATTCACCTGTTGAAGGGCATCTAGGCTTTCCCCAGTTTGGGACTATTATGAATAAAGTTGCTTATAAAAACTCATGTTTATTAAAAAAAAAAAAAAGTAATCTCTTCACCCGACGTGGGGCTTGAACTCATGCTCTAACGACCAAGCCAGCCCAGTCCCCCAGGTATACATTTTTTTTGTGTGAACCTTGTCTTCATTTCTCTGGGATAAAATGCCCATGTTTAGTTTTTAAGAAGCTGCCAAACTGTTTTCCGGCGTGGCCTCCCCGTGTGCCATTCCCACCAGCCACGAATGAGGGATCCGGTTTCCCAGGCGTCACTATTTTGTATATGAGCCGTTCTCATGGGTGTGTGGCGGTGTCTCACGTGGCTTTAAGCCGCATCTCCCTGAGGGCTAGTGATAGCGAACCCCTTTCTGTGAGCTCACTTGCCATCTGTATACGTATATCCTCTTTGGTGATACTGGCTGTCCATGTCTCCACTTCCCGACAGGCTTGTTTTATTGTTTAGTTTTGAGAATTTCATGTATATTCTACTTGTTGGACATGTGGCTTTCAAACCTTCCCTCCCCATCTGTGGCCCGTCTGCGTCTTCTCAATGGGCTCTTGCAGGCGTGTTTACTTTGGAAGAGGCCCAGTTTGTCAGTGTTTTCTGTCACAGGTCATGCTTCTGGTGGCAGTCTGCAGATTCTTTGCCTCGTCCTAGACCCTGAGGGTTTTCTTCTGTGAATTCACAATGAAGCCCCTGGTGTATTTCGAGTGTATCCTGTGTGGGGTGCAGACTCGGGCAACCTCTGTGGACCGCGCTGTCCCCCCTCCGCTGCCCCCTGCTGGCACCGTTGCCCACAGTCCGGGGGGCCTGTTGGTGCGGGCCTCTCGCTAGGGCCTTGTTCCGCGTGTCTGACCCTCGCCAACCCCACGCCGCCTTGCTGACCGGCGCTGCTCAGTCAGCCACTAAAATCAGTTAGACTTACTCTTCACCTTCTTCCTTTTTGTGACAGCTGCTTTACCGTCTTTCTCCAATAATTGTAACATCTCTGGGTTGGCATTCTGCTGATTGTATTTTTTCATTCAGTTTGAGGTCTTCGTATGATGATGAGTGATTTCATCATATGATTTTTTTTAATTGAAACCTGGACATATGTTACAAGAGTCTTACTGGAGCTTCCTGTTTCCACGGACTTTCTCTCTTAAGCTCTGTCTGCTGGGGGGGGGGGCGACCCCCTCGTCGCTGCCATGTGGGTCCAGGGTCCCAGCTCCCAGGTTGCTGCTCTTCCGTGGCCTCCACTGACATTGCCAGGTGGAGGCGAGTCTTGCCTCCCAACTGGGCCTCCCCCGACACCCCCAGGGGGGATGAGATGGGCACCTTGGCGGGCTCCCCGAGCGTTGGCCCTGACTGTGCGGTACAGGCAGGAGGGTAGGGAGTCCGGCCGGGGAGGGCGCTTCCTCCGTCAGTTGCCTGTCAAGCTGGCAGGTGCCTGTCTTGGACCTTTGGCCACGGTCAGTTCTTGTTTGGTTCGGGTGTGTTGTCTGCGTCTGTTGGTGTTTCCAGGTTACCAGCATCTTCAGCTCCCAGTCTGGGATAACCATGCAACGGCAGGCCCTGGGCGGGGGCGGGGGGTCCCTGCTGTGCAGTTCCTCGGTCCCCAGCTGGTCTGTGACCTGGTCTGCCTTCTTCCCTCCCCTCCAGAGCCTTTCTGGTGTTCTCTGTGGATGTCATGTCCAGGATGGTGGCTTGCACTGAGCTGGGGGAGAGGAAGAAGGACATGCATTCCAGCGCCCCACAGGGCACACCCCTTCAGCTGCTTTAAACCAGTGTTCAGCCAGTGGGAACAGCGTGCTCTGTACGGGTCTGAGTGTGTGTCCAGATACTAGCTTGTGTTTCTCTGAAGTGCCCGTGACTGTGTGCTTTCCTACAAGCCACCCCCGGCCGTCTTCAGGGGGTGCCTCTGCTGGCCTGCCCCCCAGGTTTGGCTTAGCTGTCACACACCCATCTTCCTGACCTGACCCTCCCACTGAGCGACCCCTTAGAGCAGCTGCGTCTCACCGAGTGCGAGCTGTGCTGTACACCTGCGGCACTGCTTCCCTCCCACCCTGGACCTCAAGGGAGTCACTTTCTATGAAAACTTCCCATAATGGGAATATTAAAACACAAGGAAATACAGAATTGCAAATGGAAGCCGTCATGCCCATCAGCGGGGTCAGCACGCCGACACGCCCCGTCTGCGTCATCCAGACGCCATCTGCTTTTCCCCTCCATGCCGTGCTGGTTTACAGTACTAAACCCCAGGTAGTGTCATTTCATGTGTAGGCACTTCCAAATACATCCCTAAGAATTAAATACTGTTCCCACCCTGAAATGATTAATAATTACTTAATATGATCAGCTACTTAGGTTATATTTATATTTAAATTTCTCAATTGCAGAACATACTTGATCCATTTAGATTTATAGTATCCCCTGTGCTTTGCACAGAATACATTTTCAGAAAATATATCATGAAGTAATTAATAAATATAAAATAATGCTTTTAAAACTATGTGGAACACTTTTTTTAAAATTTATTTTTGAGAGACAGAGCACAGGTGGAGGAGGGACAGAGAGAGAGAGACACACAGAATCCAAAGCAGGCTCCAGGCTCTGAGATGTCGGCACAGAGCCCGACGCGGGGCTCAAACTCATATACTATGAGATCATGACCTGCCAAAGTTAGATGCTTAACCGACTGAGCCACCCAGGCTCCCTGGAACACTTTCTTGAATAAAGGATTCTAAAAAGAGGGGCTCCAGGCTGGCTCAGTTGGAGGAGTAAGCAACTCTTTATCTCTGGGTTGTAGGTTTGAGTCCCCTGTGGGGGGTAGGGATTACTTAAATAAAAGATTCTAAATAGGAACTCATTTAACTTTTAGCAATGAATTTGCCAGTTATATGTTGAGATTCACCATTATTAACAAACGATGGTCATGAAAACTGCACACATTTTGGATACATGAGGGATATTTATAACAATCGTGCATGTTTTAGCACATTTTCATTACCATTGTCCTGAAAGCGCTGAATTTGCCTTTTAGTGACTAACAATATAAACAAACGCTATCTCATACAAAGCAAAAGTGTCCAGAATATTTGCAGTCGTCTCCTCGCCCGCTGTCTGACGGGGTCCTAATGACAGGTGACGCGTTAGGACGGTCTTGTGGAGTACAGCCGCAGTATTCAGGAAGAGGAGACTTTAAACCGGTTAATATTTAGATAATTGGGTGATCGTTCCTGAGAGTTTCCTGTGGTTTCTCCTGCCAGCTGAGGAGGTCACAGACGGCTGCGGGTCGGCCTCGAACAGCTGTGTGCCTGTGGCCGCACCCGCACGAGATGCTGCTCTGGATGAAGAAGAGGGGGGTTCTGCCGCGTCCTTGCCCTGACCGGACCAGAGTGCCGGGGCGGGGGCCAGCGGCAGACGGGCAGGCGCGTGTGGGGTTCTGTCATCCTCCATCGTGACGTGGAGGGTCTTCACTCCGTCCCGTGGGGGGCTCTCTCCCAGCCGTCCCTCCAGGCCCCCTCCCCGGCACAGGGCCTCCCTGTAGGCCGCATCCCCCTTGCCGTGCCTCCGTCCCGCCTCCGCCCCGCCTCCGCCTTCCCTCCTGATGGCGCGGCCCTGGCTGGCGGTCCTTGGGTGCCCTGGACCGTGCTGAAGCGGTGGGCGCGTCCGGTGTGGGTCCCGGACGGCGGACCTAGCCCTCCTCGTGTGAAGGCTCCCTTCTCCCGCCTGCACTGTGGTTGCGGTGGGTCCCGCGCAGCGGGCTCCCCGCCGTGCTCACATGATGGGCGCGCTCAAGGTCATTTTCTTGCTGTCTTTCAGACAGAAACCGTCTCCGCCAGTCAAGAGACCCTCCCAAGCACTTTGCCATGGATGTAGAAGATGAAGAAAACATGAGTAAGACCTGGGCCTGTCATGTAGCGTCGAGTAGCTAATTCTCCGTTAAAATCTTAGTGTTCTTGTAAATATTTGTAATGAGACTAATTTGGGAAAAGTGATTTTTTTCCTGCCATATGGGCTACTAATGGTCGCATGTTTTAAATTTCTGATGTATTCCCGGCAGTAGGTGTTGGTACTTGTGTGGGCATCTTCCTTACAGCCTTCTGACCGGACCTTCGGCTGCCGTCACTGGGACCGTCCCGCACGCACCCGCAGGGAGCACCCGTGTCTCCAGATGCACGTGCCTCACGGCCGCCCGGTTCCATGCCACATCATGGCGTGGCTCTCCTGCTAGTGGCTGGGTTTTCATCTGTGCACATCTGAGATCCCCTTCGAGGTTGATTTAAATAGTTGGCCCTTTGGGGGGCGCCTGGGTGGCTTAGTCGGTTAAGCGTCCGACTTTCGCTTGGGTCATGATCTCGCGGTTCGCGGGTTCGAGCCCTGTGTCGGGCTCTGTGCTGACTGCCAGCTCAGAGCCTGGAGCCTGTTTCAGAGTCTGTATCTCCCTCTCTCTCTTACCCTCCCCTGCTCACGCTCTCTCTCTCTCTCCTAGAAATAAATAAAAATATTAAAAAAATAAATAAATAAAAATAAACAGTTGGCCCTTTAGGATAACTCCCTAAATTTTTCCCTGCAAATACAGTGAATTTTCCCTGTGCTTTGAAGGAAAGGGGCTCCCGTGAGACTGCTTATTTTAAGTTTCCAAGACTTCAGCGAGCCTTTGGGCCGCTGTGGACCAGAGCGCACTGTTGGGCCCACTCTGCCCCCCACACTGTCCTGTCTGGGGCGCGGGGTGGTGAGCCTCAGGGGCACACCGCTCCCCTCCCTCGGTGGTGCTCTCTGTGAAAAGAAGTTTGCTGAATGTACTTCCCTCTTCTGTTTAATCCCCGATAGCGGCACATTTGGATAAGGTTTGCAGGCTCCCACAGACGTTGGGACACTACAACGAAGACACCATTTTCTGATCTGTGTACACATCTACATTCTTACCTGTCAGTGTCCGGCTGTGCCCAGGGAAGGGCAGGCAGGTCTACACGCCAGGTGACCTTACTGACACTGGTCAGTATGACCAGAACACAGCTCCGTCACTCCCCCCGTGACTTCCCCCAGAACTGACCAGCTGAGGCCTGGGACTGGGGCCTGTCTGCCGCTTAGAAGGCAGAGGCTCAGTGGGCGGGGCGCTCCTGCTCGTGGGCCGCTCCACGCGCCCTGCAGCGCTGGGCCTTGGTCGCACGAACCTCACGGCAAATGTTCTCTTTGGCAGCTGCGAGCGTGAGAAAGTGCGGCCGTGGCGCTGCCCTGCAGGGCGCTGTCTTCAGGCTGGTGTCCCCATCGGAGCCTACGCTTAAGGCCTGTTTTCACTGGTCAGCCCCACCTGCCACGGCCGCTTTTGCCAGGGCACTACCCCCTCCCCCGTGAGGACCGTGTGAGCACGTATCCCTCCCCGGAGCCTCCTTTGCTCGGGGCCGTGGACCGTCGTCCATCTGGCGTGGGTGGAAACCTCACAGCGTGTAGATCCTGTGGTCACTCAGGCGAGGGAGTCTTGCGGGTGACTTTCCCGAGAGGTGACTGCGGTTCTAGTGCTGGAGGTCTGTGGTCCTGGGTTCCCTGTCGCCTCGAAAGCACAAAGATCTTACCGGGTTGCGTTCACGTCCGTGAGCTAACGTAGCGCCCTGCGTCTGCTTGTGAAGAGCTGTGACAGCGGGATCTGTGTCTCTAACTCTGTGTTTCCTTTACGCAGCAGTGCCGCTCATAAGATGAGAGACGAGTGGCGTCTGAGCGCTTCTGAAGCAAGTACCAGCTTGAAAGTGACGTGAACTCTCTTATAGGAAGTGTATTTTTCTTTTTAACGTCTCAAGAGTATTTGTCAGTCCAATACTGATTACTTTTATTTCTTAAAGGACAGCCTTTGTTTCAGGGGCAGTGAGTCTGTGATTCAACGCACGTGCGCGTGTATTTACATGGCCTGATTTTCACGTCGATAATCCTCTTTGGAACAGCGTCCGGATGTATGCAGTCGTCTAGTGTGTGATGTTCTTGCTCATTTGTTAATCTGAATTCTGTCTCTTGCTCTGCCCTTTTTAACCTTTGTTTCCTTTGAGCACCGAAAGGAGTAACCTATCGAGCTTTTGCTGGAGGATGTTATAAATGAAAATTTAGTGTCCATTCCGTCAGCTTTGTCAACTGGGAGAAGTGGTGTGTGTGCGTCAGGAGCGCTGGGGAGCATGTGGCATCTGCAGAGAGGGGTCACCGGCCTCCTAACCTCTGCCTCGTGCGGAGTCTGTTTCCCAGGGGCTGGGTTTACACCAGGGTTATTCTTTACACCCCAGCTGAGGGACGGCAGCCCTGGAAGTTTGAGAATTTTAACTGTGGGGATTGGCAGCCATCAGCCAGACTTTCTGTCCCAGTTAGCCTCCTGTGTCCCCAGTGCTGTTTACTTAGCGTCATGAGAATCTGCCTCTAGATTCTGTACCATGACCCGAGGGCCACCGTGTCAGGGCACCTGTAGGGTGCTTCCACGTGTAAAAATTACTTTGGTTACTAACTACACCTTTGAGCATTAGTGACAGGCCTTTCGATACAGTCCCCCGACAACAGTGCACAGCCCTCCGCCCCATGCGGCAGACGGCCTGTGAAAATCAGCCAGGGAAGCAAGGAAGAGGGAAGAGTAAATACTGTCTTAGTCCCCCTTTTAGAATTAAAATCATATTCATTTTGCTATGAACTTTTAGAATTTTAAAATTGTCTTCATCAATTGCAATAGAAACTACCTTTAAAAGGCAGGATAAGCAAACTATCCTGTGAATCCATCAAGTATTTGTTTTCTAAAAAAAAGACAAAATCACTGCCTTTACTTAGAAAGTTAGGAAGTGGTAGCCTGTTTGCAGCTTCAATTTTATGTCCTGATATATATTTTTTCTATCATGGAATATATTAAGGATTCAGAGATAACCAATCCCCATATGTAATGAAAGAAATTTAAATTATTACCAGGAGCAAAGCTGTATCCTTCAATGATGCCATGAGGAATTTTCTCAGATTGATTCATGGACTAAATCCAGTGACCGCACATATCGAGCCAGTAGTCTAGCCCTGAAACACTAATTAACTTGTGAGCGCTGCTCGTAAGCCCTGGCCCTGCTCCGGGGGCGCTGCGGTCCGGAGCCCAGCGTGAGCACAGTCGGAGTAAGTGACATTGAAGAGGAGGAGGGTGAGTGTGTGAGCACTCACACTGGACTTACTAACAGATACTTTTCAGGATTAATTGATCAGCCCACATTCTGATAAGCTTGAGTAAAGCATCTCCAGATGCTTCTGGATATTCTTGTAGAAAACAGTTATCTTAAAAACTCACCCTTGAATGCAAAAGCAGTTGGTGATACCAAACGGAAATGGTGTTGGCCATGACTTAGCGAAATGTACGGCGACCTATTTCTGTGTAGGTGGCAGTTCTTGGGGTGAAGATGCAGCTCTTGCGTGTAGGGCCGGGAGCGGAGTGAATAAGCACACATCACTTAACCAGTTACAAAGAGAGATAAAGGAATCTATAAATTTTGCATTTACAAGATCCTGCAACGAAGGCGTTGTAAGTTACTCTTTCTGGGCACCGCAGGTTCAAGCAGCACAGATGTTAAGGAAAGCTGCGGTCTGGACAGCATGCCCCCCAAGGACGGCAGCGCCCCCGGGCCTGGCGAGGGCATCCCGCTCTCCAACGGGGGCGGCGGGGGCACCGGCCGGAAGCGGCCCCTGGAGGAGGGCAGCAACGGCCACTCCAAGTTCCGCCTGAAGAAGAGGAGGCGGCCGCCCGGGCCCGCGCTGCCCAAGAACGCCCTGATGCAACTGAACGAGATCAAGCCCGGCCTGCAGTATGCGCTGCTGTCGCAGACGGGGCCGGTGCACGCGCCCCTGTTCGTCATGTCCGTCGAAGTGAACGGGCAGGTGTTCGAGGGCTCCGGCCCCACCAAGAAGAAGGCCAAGCTGCACGCGGCGGAGAAGGCCCTGCGCTCTTTCGTTCAGTTCCCCAACGCCTCCGAGGCGCACCTGGCCATGGGCAGGACCCTGTCCACCAACACGGACTTCACGTCCGACCAGGCCGACTTCCCCGACACGCTCTTCAACGGCTTCGAGACCCCGGACAGGTCGGACGCGCCCTTCTACCTGGGCTCCAATGGCGACGACTCCTTTAGTTCCAGCGGGGACCTCAGCCTGGCCGCGTCCCCGGCGCCCGCCGGCCTCGCACAGCCGCCCCTCCCCGGCCCTCCGCCGTTCCCGCCCCCGAGCGGGAAGAACCCTGTGATGATCCTGAACGAGCTGCGGCCGGGACTCAAGTACGACTTCCTGTCGGAGAGCGGGGAGAGCCACGCCAAGAGCTTTGTCATGTCCGTGGTGGTGGACGGCCAGTTCTTCGAGGGCTCGGGCAGGAACAAAAAGCTCGCTAAGGCCCGGGCTGCACAGTCGGCCCTGGCGGCCATTTTTAATTTGCACTTGGATCAAACACCGTCTCGCCAGCCCATCCCCAGCGAGGGCCTTCAGTTGCATTTACCGCAGGTGAGGAAACGTGGTGCTGCCGGAAACGGTGGCCGTGTCTTGCCAGTGCTTTCAGACAGGGCCTCACTCTCCCGTCGCTGTTGACGTCCCGTCTGCACGTCCCTGGTAAGTCTGGCGCCGGGTGTCCCTGCCCGGCCCGCGCTGGGCGTGCTGGGCAGCCCGTCCAGGGCCTCGCACGCGGGCGGGACACGCGGAAGCCCCCCGCAGAGCGGTGCCGTCAGCGCCCTCCAGGCCGAGCCCTGCCTCGTTCCACACAGCAGCCTGTGGCTCCTTTCCCGCGTGGTTCACCCCTGCAGGGGCCTGCGTCCCACAGCAGCGGCCTGTGGCTGGAGCACGGGGGCCACTGGCCCCCTTGCTCAGCATGTTCCCTGCAGTCTCACCAGGGAACCCCACGCACAGAAGTGGGGCTGCCCACGTCGGGGTCAGCGCCGGTGCCGCGCAGCTCCGGCAGGACCACCCAGTTACGTCCCCAGGGCCGCCGGCCAGCTGGGCGGAGGGCACACCGCGCAGGTGCTGAGCCCCTCAGAGGTGGGGGGAGGAAGGGCACCCTTTGGCCGCGCTGCCAGGGTCCAGGAATCTGCACCTGGAGTGTCCCGGGTGGGGTCGCCCCTCCTGCTGGGCCAGGAGGAGGCGGCCACTCCTGTTTGCCCTTGGAGACCCTCCCCCGTGAGACCAGGGTGGAGACGGCATTGCAGGGTGGGCTCCTGGCTGACTCAACAGGGGAAGAGAGAAGGGGAGACGGTGTGTAGCTGGCATCTCTTGAGTCCTACAACTCCCTGATTACATGTTGCTTCTCTTCTTGGGAATCCAGGTTTTTCTGGCCTAGCGTAAAGATGACTCTTTTAGAGAGAAACTCTGATTACCTTCTCTATTCCTATTTGTCAAAATATTACTGACCTTAAAGATAAAATCTATGCTGGTTGGGATGGGAAAGAATGAAGGCTCCGGTGGCTGCACGGGACAGCTTGTGTCATTCGTGGAGGAATCCAGGTGCAGCAGCCTTGCAGCTGCCTTTGAGCGGTCAGGGTAGCCCCCAGAACGGCCTGGAACGGCCAGTAGTTCAGGGTTTTAGGAAAAGAAGCTTCATTTTATTTTGCCTAAAGCAACCAAATGCAGCATCAGTAGAAAGTAACATTCAGACTATTCTACTGGTCTTTTATGAACCGAATAATCACTTCCCATATTAATGTCTTGCTGACATTTTTTCAGAAGATTCCACAAGTCAGTGGCATTGGTGCCCCAGAGAGGATGTGTGTCAGGGCCCGTGGCTCCGCACACTCCAGCTTGGGCACAGAGGGCGTCTGGCGCCACCCGACTTCTTGTAGCACCCGCGGGTCCTGCGTGAGACAGACAGAAGCCAGGCGAACCCTGTGAGCTCCCAACGCCTGGGTTTTGCAGGATGGCCGTGGAGGGAGACAGGGTCCCTGTGGGCACTTGCAGCCTGCTCGCAGGCCTGGCCCTGAGCTTCCGCTCCGCTGGGGGCCCCGGGGTGCCTCCCTGGGGAGGGGCGTCTAAGAGAGCCCCGAGTGAGGGACGGGGTGGGCGGGCTGAGAGACAGGGTCGGCAGGCTGGGCGCTCTTAGCCCTGCCCGATGCCGCTCGCCCCGCGTTCTTACAGGTGCCGCGGGGTGGTCTCCCAGCCTCTGTGGTCGGGCCCTGCGGGGGCGGAACTGGGTGTCCTGTCTCTGCTCACGGCGCCCCCTCGGAGCTCAGGACATGCTCGTGTTTCTTTGGAGGACCAGGGGTGGCCTTTGCACAAGCGGCCCTACAGCTTTACTTCTGGACCGCGTTGCCTTTGCGCTGGAAGTTTCCAGACGTACATTCTGGAGTGGTGAGCATCCTCACCGCTTTCCCGGAGTAACCCTTGAGGGGTCGGGCCGGCGGCCCTCCCTGCTCTCGGGACTTCTCACCTTCATCCTGTTCGTGGTGGCGTCCGGGGTTTAAACCCAGAGGTGCGGGCCGCGTCGGCGCAGAGCCCTGTCAGTGGGGGACTTTGCTACCGCGGCACCACAGCCCGGCTTTGAGCCAGGGCCTCACAGCTCCTAGGTGCCACCCGGGGCTGTGGGGCACAGGCGTGACTCGTGTGACGCCCGCCCCCGACATGCAGAGGGAGAGTCTCATTCCTTAGGAGCGAGATCACAGTCCCTTTAAGGGGCAGAGGAGCTGTCCGGGTGACCGAAGCGCCTGCCTCTGACGAGTATGTGTCACCGCCCGGGCCCGACCTGCGTATCTCTGAGCTCCGTGGTTTAGAAATCTGCCAAACCTTCCATCAAACAGAGGCTTCTTTTCTCTGGCTTCTCCTCAACTTCTCATGATTTTTTTCTTTTATGTAAGTTGGAACAAGTGATCCTTCCTCTTTGATACCCTCACCGCTGTGTGGCCTGCACCCATGTGTGTGGTGTGGACGCCTCTGCCTGGGACAGGAAGCGGGGGGGTGGGGAGACCTGCCGCCCCCCATCCCCATGTCTCCTGTCCACGCCCCACGCCTCCGGCTCGGGCACAGTCTTCTGGGGCTGCCGGTGTTTTCTGGTGCGGCGGCAGGAGGGCTTCTAAGGTGACTTTTGTTTCTTCAGAATGTAAGTTGTCATTTAGGATGAGGGACGTGTCTGTTCATCTGGGAAGTGGTTTACAGGGGCCCAAGCTGGACACTGGATCTGGCTGTTTGGTTCTTAAGAGAAGTGTGGGTTCGGGGGGCACACGGCTCTTCACACCGCCCCCCCCCCCATCAGGAAGCATTTCCAAAACCCTGGTGCCCAAGGTGAGTTGTAAGCTGTGGAAACAGGACGGAGGCCCAGCTGCCAGGCGTGTCTGCTTCACAGCACCCGCTGCGGGCGTGGAAACCTGCCGGGCGCACTGACCCCTGCCCTTGGAGAGCGTAGCCGGTGGTGCTGTCCTGCCGCTCGGTCCGAGTGATAAACGCCTGCCGGGCGCTCCAGAGCGCTGGTTTCTGGGCGGCACAGGGCGGCCAGTTCGCACGTCGCAGTAGCTGAGGCGCGGGAGGCGGGTGCCCTGCGGGAGCTGCTGTGGGGGCGCGGGGCCCTGCACCCACCCCCGGCCCGGCCCTCGAGCTGACGGCAGCCCTTCCGTGTTGAGGGAGGGGAGCACTTTCATTTCCTCCACAAGCCCTGGTTCTCCAGGGAGTGTGGCCTGAGGCCGGGAGAGCCTGGCGCAGGGCAGAGGGCATGCGGGGCAGGTGGCCTAGGGTGGCCTCCGTTCCCTCGTTCGAGGGGATGTGGGGGACCACAGGGGCGGCACGGGCTCTGGACCGGCTTTGTCTGTGAGATTCTATTGAAGGATTCCAGCCAGCGCCTTGAATTCCTTGGGCCCCTGTTTCCAGGGGACGTTTTGGAGGGGAAACACACACACACACACACACACACACACACACACGCTTGCTTGCCAGATTCGCCTGCATGGTTTTCCAGAAGAGAAGCCGTCGGTGAGGCCACTCTGGAGGGACAGCCATGTTGGCGTGCACGGGGCGGTGCAGGCCGCACCCCTGACTCCCTGCTGTGGTCCTCAGGTGTTAGCGGACGCCGTGGCCCGCCTGGTGCTCGACAAGTTCGGTGACCTGACAGACAACTTCGCCTCTCCTCACGCACGTAGGAAAGTCCTTGCCGGCATCGTCATGACAACAGGTAAAACGTGGGCGTGCCTCACCTGCCTTTCTTTGCGTCAGACTGTGGCCATCCCTGGGGCCCTCACATGGGCTGTCTCCCCAGTTCCTCAGCGTCCCTGCCACAGCCACACGTGGGAGCTGTACTTACAAATGCTGAGTTTTTTAACCTCAGGGGTTTTTTGGAGACAGCATACCGTGTTCGTGTCTGAGTCCTGTGATCAGGCATGAGAGGTTTTGATCTGCTCTGGAAAACGCACTTCCAGCTTCTTGCGTCATTTGAACATGGGACGTATCTGACTTACCAGCTAGTGGCGATGCCTCTAGATAGTTTGTGTGTGATGTTCATGGGGAAGACAGGCAGCTCCAGCAAGCGCAGCAAATGCTTAGGTAAAAGCGCACTTTGGGATGACACAGGAAACCCTACTAAATGTATCCAGAAGTCCCCAGCAGGACAAAGCGCCCTCTCTGAGCTCTTTCCCACACCCAGCGGGGAGAACGCTGAGCAGCTGCTGCTCGCGGACCTCTCCCACGGCCAGGAGACCACCGCCGTGGCCCGTGCTGGGTCCCTGTGGCAGGCCAGGTGGTGGCTGAGTCTGAGGCTCCTTGTGGGGTCTCTACACTGGGGTGTCCACTCAGCCCCACTGTACGTGTGCAGGCAGCCGGCCCTAGGGCCAGAGAGCAAGCCAGCGGTTTATCTGTCTACACCCGCCAGCCAGGGAGAACACCCCAGTCCTCTGCGGGGGGAGTGCCTGCCCTGTCCCCCGAGGTAGCTCTCCTCCGTCTGACTGTGGACAGGACGTGATCCCATAATCCTCAGCATTGACCCACCCCTTCGACACCCTGGGAAACACGACTGCTGCTTTAATGATGGCGGCTTTTTCTCGCACGTGTTTACTCCGGCGCAGCTGAGTGTCTGTGGCAGATGAAGGGCTCAGGACGTCACCTGGGGTTTCATTTGAATTTGGGGTTTGATGCCTGCATCGTCTCCATCTTCTCCCTCTCTCTGCCGCTGTTCTTCACACGACTGAAGGGTGAACGCTTCAGCTGCAGACATGCCGCTTTCCCTGGGCAGGTGCTGGGCCTCCGCGGGCGCAGGAGTGAGCAGCCAGCGGGTCCTTCCCCGCGGCTCTTCTCCTGGGCTCCGGGCGCGGACCAGCTCCTGGGGCATTTTGCACCTGGGTGTGCATCTCACGTGGGGCCTGTGGCTCAGGGCCACGGTGTACCCAGCAGGCGGCGCCCGCAGCCCTCGGCATGCGGCCCTGGCGTCACACAGCCCACTTCGGCTCGGCTTCCCGTGGTTGAATGACCCTGGGCAGGCTCTGACCCCTCCAGGCCTCAGGGTCCTCATCCGTGAAATGGAGACAGTGGTAGCGTGCCCCTCAGAGGACACCATAGGACTGAAGGGAGACCCTCACCCAGTAGGCCTGACGCCACGTACGCCCTCCGCTCCGCTGACAGCACGTGCGGTTTACCGTGGGCCGGGGTCCACGCCTTGCCCTGCGCCTGGCAGAGTGCACGCGCTTCCCGTGCCCGAGGCCTCACGCCCAGCACAGTTAGGTGGTGACAGGCATTCCTGGGCAGGGCACCGTGACTGACCTCTCTTTTCCTCCTCGTCCCTCTGTGAGCCATTCCTCGTAGCCCCTTAGTGCTTTGCTGTTAATTTCAAAACTAACTACCAGACCAGTCCAGTTGCTCAGCCCGTACGTGGGCGCCCTACCTGGACCCAGTGGGGCTGCGTCCAGAGGAAATAAGTTCCTTAGGTTTAGTCTGCGCACCGGAGCGGCAGGGAGGGTGGCTTCCCTGCATGGCGAGCCCTCCGCGGGAGGTGGTTTGCAGAGCCTGGGTCTGCCCCGGGAAGGAGTGGGGGTGGGCGTGCATGGAAGATGGGCTGCGAGCTCTGCCCTCACCCAGACGTGAAGTCACCGAGAAGGCACGCACACCCTGGGAGCACAGGTAGGCACGCGTCATTGCTCATTCGGAGGAATAATTTCTCATTTGTTTTTCAGGCACAGATGTGAAAGATGCCAAGGTGATAAGCGTGTCTACGGGCACCAAGTGCATCAACGGCGAGTACATGAGTGACCGTGGCCTTGCGCTAAACGACTGCCATGCAGAGATCATCGCGCGGAGATCCTTGCTTAGATTTCTTTATACACAGCTTGAGCTTTACTTAAAGTAAGTTTAGTAAATAAATAAAGGAAGCAGTTTTTAAAAAATATCCCCCTCCTTTCAGAATGTATTGCAAAACCTTTTGTTGTTTCTGTAATCTCTGAAAAATTCTTAAAATAGTAACCGTATCGGCAGCCATGCGGTTGGGCCCCGTTTTCCCATGATGCTCCAGGTACAGACTAGAGTTGGCCAGATGCCGCCCGCACGCACACGCACCCACCGCTGATGCCGTCGTAGATCTGAAGTCCACGTTCAAGACCGTGTGATTGTGTGTCATGTAGCATGAATGTGAGCGGGACCAAGCCACCCAGGACCGTGGCCGTTTCTTGTGGTCACTGTGTGCAGACAGCAGGCCACCTGTCTAAGCTGCTTTCCTTTACAAACGTTTCTACATGTCATCTCTGTTTTGAAGTCCTAAATGAGAAGAAGGAAAGGTCGCTCACATCCCGGTAACTTGTGCGTTATTGATTGAGTGGGCAGGAACCGTGTTATCATAACAAGTAAATGTTCCAGTTGAAGCTAATCGGTACCCTGTTGAAAATACTGGCCTCTGAAACCCTTGTCACCTATGGGAGACTAAGTTTTGACTGTCTACAGCTTTAAAGTTCATTTTTGCAACTTTTTTCCTTCCAGTAGCAAAGACGATCAAAAACGATCCATCTTTCAGAAGTCAGAGCGCAGCGGGTTCAGGCTGAAGGACAGCGTCCAGTTCCACCTGTACATCAGCACGTCTCCCTGTGGGGACGCCAGAATTTTCTCACCACACGAGCCGATTCTGGAAGGTACGGGAGCCGGGGCTCAGCAAGTAGCGGCATCTCGAGGAGACCGGTGATGACGTAGTGACAGATCAAAGAGCAAACCTGCATGAGGACCCTTGTTTCCTTTTGTTCAAAGACTTTGACCTTGAAAGTGGATCTGATAGAAATACATGAAAACATGAGGTTTTCTTTACAGCTAGTAGCTTAATGAGAAAATCCTACTGAAATGTGTTGATTCTGCTACACTGAGTAATTAGAATAGAGGGAGGAGATTAAATCACAGTTGTTTCTAGTGTTTAAATTTGGGACAGTCTGTGTCAATACATCAGAGGCGCACGCCATCTGTGTTTGTGATGAACTGTGACTTGATGCGTGCATACCTGGGGTGTTTGCTGAAATTTCAGAAGCAGCACAGACTAGTGGAAAGGGGGCCCTGTCACATCACATTTTCCTCCAGCCGCGTTTGTGCGTGAGGTTGGTGCTTGTATTTTATTGTAACTTGTGTTCTCGTTTCTTCTCCAAAGCATGAGCAGTATTTATTTCAAATACAACTTTTGAGGGGCGCCTGGGTGGCTTAGTCGGTTGAGCGTCCGACTTTCACTTAGGTCATGATCTCGCGGTTTGTGGGTTCGAGCCCCGCGTCGGGCTCTGTGCTGACTGCCAGCTCAGAGCCTGGAGCCTGTTTCAGTCTGTGACTCCCTCTCTCTCTGACCCTCCCCTGCTCACGCTGTCTCTCCCTCTCTCTCCTAGAAATAAATTAAAAAAAACAAAACAAAACAAAAAAAACAAATACAACTTTTGAGTACCTTACTTTCCCTGATTATAAAAGTAACACATTCCCACTGTGGATTGTTGCTACAGATTTTTGAAATATTAAGAAAAGCCATCCATCCCCCATATTCCTGTAACCCAGAGACCATCGCTTCAGATGATTGTGCATGCTTCCCTCTGCATTTTTTTCTGCATTCCTGTAATGTATTTTTGAAAATTTTTAAATGTGGGGGAAAAAACATAACAGTCAAATATATCCATCTGTAGAATTAGCAAATGTCAGCATTTTGTCCTGTTTGCTTCAGCTCATTTTTAATGATAGAAAGAAATCATTTTGGTTAAAATGGAAGCCCTTTTTTCCCCAACCCCTGAGGAGACCACTCCCAGGACTTTCATTTGTATTTTCCCCTTTCCTGCCCAGGGTCCCGGGCGGTGGTGCCCGTACCATATAGAGAGTGAGCATGTGCACACGGCCCCAGGGCCCTGGGCGGTGGTGTCCGTGACGTATAGAGAGTGAGCATGTGCACACGGCCCCAGGGCCCTGGGCGGTGGTGTCCGTGACGTATAGAGAGTGAGCATGTGCACACGGGCATAAACGAGACTCCGTACGTGTGGGGGCTGCTGCCCTTGCTTTCCCGCGAGGAGAGGAGAGGACTCTCACCCAGCCTTCCTCTCCTAGAACCAGCGGACAGGCATCCAAACCGCAAGGCCAGAGGACAGCTGCGGACGAAAATAGAGTCTGGCGAAGGCACGATTCCGGTGCGGTCCAACGCCAGCCTGCAGACGTGGGACGGGGTGCTGCAGGGCGAGAGGCTGCTCACCATGTCCTGCAGCGACAAGATGGCCCGGTAAGGCCCCCGCCGCGCCCACATGTTTGCACGTGTGCTTCCGGTGCGCCCGTGTGCCGCAGACAGTGCTTCCGGGGATGGCTGAGAAGGTCCTCATTCCTAGTAGATGCCACCTTAGGGGTCCTGCCCCCCCGGGGTTACCGCTGGGAGTTTCTGTGAGTGCAGAGTGTCCCTCGTGTCCTGTGCTGGGTGGTGGCCGCCGGTGAGGCGGGGGTGGCTGAGACGCCGCAGTTTGCATTTGCTGGACAAGTGAATGCTCTTTCAGACAGAGACGCATCCAGGCCGGGTTGTAGAAAAGCCCGTTTCCTCAGATGCGGTGTTAGTTCCAGTAGCTTTTTGTTTTTTAACAAATGCTCACTTGGAAAAATAACAGGTAAGTAACCCAGGTAGATGGTAAGTTCAGTGGTACAGGGGCGCCTGGGGGGCTCAGTCGGTTGAGCGTCCAGCTTCAGCTCAGGTCATGACCTCACGGTTCGTGGGTTTGAGTCCCGCTTCGGTCTCTGTGCTGACAGCTCAGAGCCTGAAGCTGCTTCAGACTCTGTCTCTCCCTCTCTCTCTGACCCTCCCCTGCTCACGCTGTCTCTCTCTCTCAGAAATAAATACAAAACATTAAAAAAAATTTTTTTAAGGAAGTTTGATGATACAAAAGCATCCAAGTCAAAGATTGCTCCCTCTTCAGAGCTGGGCTGTGCCGCTCATCGTGAACGGCTCCTTGACGGCTCTTCCCAAGCGTCACAGAGGATGTGCGTGTTTGTGCACATGGCTGCCCAGCTGTTCGTAAGGTTTCTGTGTCGATCGTCTTGAGTGGACCTTGTCAGGGAACCTCACGTACGTGGAACTTGATTCGGAATATGCTGTGGTCCCTTCCCCCCAGGCTCAGGTACCCCCTGTCCAGTTACGTGTGTGTGTGTGTGGTCTTGAAAAGTACACAGTGCTGTCATTTGGGGGTGTTTGTGCGTATGTTATTAATTTACAGAAATGGAATTGTGTTTTAAGATGCTATTCTGTGTCTCGTAGTTTCACTCAACCCAGTGTTGGGGCGCTGTCCCTAAGGCCGTACCAGACGGCTGCTTTCTGCAAAGGCCGTGCTGTGTCCGGGCCCTCCCCGCAGAGACCTGGGTCTGCTGACCCCCCGCCGCGGCACAGCCAGGGGTTTCCGTGAGTGTGGCTCATGGTAGACCTTTGCTCTGCAAGGCCTCTGCTGCACACGTGTAGGGCTTCACAGACGGGCCGTGTCGCAGCCCGGAAGGGTCACACCTACACACACTTACACCAACAGTGCGTGATGCTGGTTTCGGCCTCGCTTTAGAGGTGCTCCGTGGGGTGTGGAACAGCCGTGCAGTCATTCCTCTTTCTCACGGGACTTGCCTGTGTATACCCTCCGCCCGCTCATCTGGTGGATCTCATGCTGTTTTTCATCTTGATCTGCGGAAGTCCCTCTTACAGTTGCTGTTGCGTCCTTGGTGGTTGGAGAAGCTTCCGTGTCTTCTCTGGTCCAAACGCGTCTTCACGTGGTCCAAGCCATGCTCTTGCTGAGTAGAAACCCTTCGTTTTGTCAGAACCTACCCATTAGTCTTTCACCCTGTGATTTGTACTTTCAGAATCTTATGTAAGAAATTCTTCTCAAATTAAGGGCATGAAAATATTCTCCCATACTTTTTTCCAAGATTTTTGTCATTTTACTTGCAAATTTAGGCCTTAAATACATTTGTGTTAAAGTAGTAATTTGGCTTTACTATTTTAGTACAGTGAGTCAGTTTTCCTGGTACCATCCACTGACTAATCGAGGTCTTCTTCATCGATGTGTGAAGGCATCCCTCTCATGTGCTGAACTCCCTTACATGGAGGTGTCAGCTCCTGGCCTCTCGAGCCCCTGTGATCAGTGTAGTTGTATGGAGTCCACAGTTCTTACACTTCTGACATTTTAGTGTGTTTAAAGGTCTGGTTGGCTGAGACTGTGCTTTCCCCTTCTTCTGTCAGACTTGTGGCCTTTTGTGACCCTCTGTTCTTCTGCACACACTACAGAATCGGCTTGTCAAATGTCACCACGTGTCTTGCTTAGATTTTACGTGGATTGTGGAATTGTGGATTGAAAGGGAAAGAATGAACACGAAGTTAAATCACTCCCTCCGTGAATGTTGTGTGTGTCTCCACGCTTACACTGTCATCTGTGTCAGTTACATACTAGGCAACTTTGGATGGATTAATTCCTGGAACTTTAAACTTCCTGTATCGGTGTGAGAATTATCTTATTATCTATCTTATATTCTGCAGAATTATACACATGACATAAAATTTATAATCTTAACTGTTTTTCAAGAGTTTTTTTTAAAGAGCAGTTTTAGGTTCATAACAAAATTAAGACGAGCATACAGAGATTTCCCGTGGACTCCGTGTCCCCCCCCCACATGCACGGCTCCGCGGAATGTGCCCTGTTCCGGTGATGAACCTGCACGGATACGTCAGTCGCCCAGAGCCCGTGGTTTACATCAGGCTTCACTCTGCGTGTGGCGTGTTCTCTGGATTTGGACAATTACTTAATCACATGTATTCGTCATTACAGTGTCATAAAGAGTGTTTCCACTGCCCTGAAAGTCCTCTGTGCTCCACGCTGTCCTCCCTCCCTCCCCTCAGCCCCCGGCCGCCCCCGACCTTCCCGCCGTCTCCATGCCCCTGCTTTTCCAGAACGTCACACAGATGGAATCCTACAGGACGCAGCCTTTTCAGACCGGCTGCTGTCACTTAGTGACCTGCACTTACGGGTCCTCCGTGTCTTTCGTGGCTGACGGCCCGTTTCTTCTTGGCGCTGCCTACGTCCCGGTGTCGGGAGGCACCGGCGTACCTGCCCGTCCCCTCCCGGAGGGCATCTCATGGCTCCCAGGTCTGGCAGTTCTGGAAACCCATCTGTGTGCAGGTTGTCATGTAGACCTGTGTTTTGAGCTCCTTTGGGTAAATACTAACGAGTGTGATTGCCGGGTCACATGGTAAGAATATGTTGAGTTTTGTAAGAAACTGTGAAAACATATGTAGAGAACTCCTAAGAATCAACAACAGAAAACCTGATTCAAACATGGACAAAGGACCCGAGCAGGCACATCTCCAGGAAGACACTCCACGTGCCTGATCGTCAGGGTCACACAGACCAAAACCACAGCGAGACACCCCTCACAGCCATGGGGAGGCTCCCACCAACGGACAGGACGAAACAAAACAGAAGGTGACAAGTGCTGGTGAACACGTGGAGAGCCCGGGGCCCTGTGCATGTGGCTGCCGGGGTGTCATGGGGCAGCCGCCAAGGGACCATTGCGGCGGCTCTACAGACAGCCAGACACGGAGCTGCCATGCGCCCCACTTCTGGGGGTCTGCCCCCAGGAGCCGAAACAGGACCACCAAGACATCCTTGTTGACCCGCGCTCATGCAGCGTTCTTCACGAGCGCCAGACGTGGGCAGGTGTCTGTTAGGGTCTTTGGCCCATTTTTGAAAGAGGGTAGTTTGTGTTCTTGTTGAGTTTTAAGAGTTTGTCGTATATTTTAGGTAACAATCCTGAATCAGCGTTTTCTCCCAGGCTGTGGCTTGTCTGTTCATTCTGTGGACATTGGTCTTAGCCAAGCAGAAGTTTTCCATTTAATGCAGTCCAGCTTAGCAGTGATTTCTCTCATGGATTGTGCCTTCGGTGCTGTGTGTAGAAAGTCATCACCGCATCGAGGTCACCTAGATTTTCTGCTGTGTTGTCTTCTAGGAGGTTTACGGTTTTGTGTTCTGCCTTTAGGCCTGGGACCTGTTGTGAGTTCGTTGCTGTGAAGGGTGTAAGGTCTGCATCCAGATCCAGTGTTTGCACGTGGGTCCTCGGCTGTTTCAGCCTCACTTGCTGAAGAGATGCTCTGTGCTCCCTGTGTTGCCTGTTGCTTGTCTTGGATCCGTTAACCGTATCTACGTGGGTCTGTTCCGTCCCCTCGAGCGATTTGTGTCTTGTTTTGCCGGTACTGCAGTGTGTTGATTGCCGCTTGGATTTTGAATCCAGTTCCGTCGTACGTGTTGGGGAGGGATTGGCTCCTCACACACCCAGCAAGCACGCGAGCCGGGCGTCCTCTGGTTGCCCGTGCTCCTGACCAGCCCGTGGTGGGTTGGAGGTTGCGAGGACCCCCTCCTTGGACTTGGTTAACTCGCTGGGGCGGCTCGCGGATCTCAGAAAAACATCCCACTCACTAGATCACTAGCTTATTATAAGAGGATGTAACTCAGAACAGCCAGATGAAGAGACCCAGAGGACGAGGCGTGGGGACAGGGTCAGGGAGGGCCCACGCCCTCCCCAGCTGCACTGCTCTCCTCACATCCACATGCCCACCAACCTGGAAGCTTCAAAGCCTCTTCCTTGTGGTTTTTATGGAAGCTTCATTACGTAGGCATGATTGATTAAGTCATTGGCCGTTGATTTTTTTTTTAACTCCCAACGTGGAGTTCAAACTCACGACCTGAAGATCAAGAGTCGCACACTCTACCAACTAAGCCAGCCAGGTGCCCCAAATCATTGGCTATCGGTGCTTAACCCAGCCTCTAGCCCCTCACCCTCCCTGGGGGTCGGGGGGATGGACCTGAAATTCTCAGCCCTCTAAACCAGCCCTCCTCCTTAGGTGCTTTCTGAAAGTCACTCCATTAACAGAGCAAAAGACATCTGTAAGGTCACTTAGGAAATTCCAAAGGTTTTATAGGAGCCTGAGCCAGGAACCATGGACCAAGACCAAATATATATAAGATCAAGATACATTTCTTACAAATCACAGTATCACAATTACTGCAGTTTAATCCTGAGTCTCAAAGCACCCCCCCCCCGCCCCCACCAGCCCTTCCACCACATCCTCCTCCCGTGGCGCGCTGGCTGTGCTGGGTTGTTAGCCTCCGTGTGAACTTGAGAATCCGTTTGTCACTACCTGCAACATACCTCGCTGGGATTTTGACTGGGACTGACCAGGCTGAGAAGAGCTGATATCTCGGCAGTACC